CCTTCTAGCACTGCCCCGCCTCCTTTGTCAGAGCATCTTGAAAGGGCAGATGACGTTTGCTGCCTGTTCCCTCATCTCCATTCTTTCCTGTACCCCCTTGAATCCGGCTTCAGCTCCCCCCACTATAATAAATTTACAGACATTTTTACCATGCCTCAAGATACCTCGAACCCATGAGCAGATTATATTGAATGTGTAGATCTGTTTAGTATTAAGTCTGTTAACATTAAGGCTTAATTTAGTATTAAGCCATCTTAGTATTAAGTCTGTTCAGGAACATGTCTCAGTGATTCATTTTTTGTCTTTTTTTTTTTTTTTAACCCTCCCCTGAGGATATTTTTCCCATTGCTTTTTAGAGAGAGTGGAAGGAAGGGAGAGAGAGAGAAACACTCATGTGGGAGAATATAAAGTAGAATGTAGAATGTAAATAAAGTTTTCTAGGAAAATGAGTGTATTTACACGAGGTCATAAATGAAAATTTCTCAGCTGCTTAGCATATGCAACCGATCAGATAGTTCGTGCCACACTTCTGCTTGGTTACATCCTTTAGCCCATCTGTGCCAAAAAGCATAAAAATGTGCCTGGAGAGGCACAGCTCATGCAAAGAACACTGAATGCCGCAGATGGGGCCTCGTTAATTACGGTTTGCAACAAATAGTTTTCTTAGCAAGATTGCTGTCTTTTTACAAATTCAGGGCTACTGTTATGTAATATTTTTATATTTCACAGGAGTTTGGGGGAAGGAAAAACATTAATGCGTACACGGTTTTCTCCACTTCAGTATTTGTTAGTTTAGAACTCATGTCTAGGGGGAGACTGTAGTGGTTCTGGTGTTCCTAAAAGTTTGAGAACCACTTTCATGTATGGTTTCTAAGAACAGTTTCACCTCTAAATTCCCCCAAAGACACAAACTATCAAAGCTCCCTCAAGAAGGAATAGGTGACCTAAATAGCTCTATATCTACTGAAGAGTCTATCTAGCAATACAACTCGAATGGAGATGTCCAGTACAGTGTCAATGGCAAGTGTCCCAGGTCCTTTAAGACAGAGGGCTCTAAACTGAAGGACCCAGGCCATCTTTGGAAGCCCTCATGAAACACTGAGGAACAGAGGTGGGGAGAAAGAACAGCAAAATAAGTAATTATGCATAAAGTGCCTGCTGCTTGTAACCTTTACAGCCCTACAAGTTAACCATTATGATTCCCATTTTCCTGGTGATAACCCCAGAAAGGTTACATCACTTGCACAAGGTTACCCAGAGAGTAAAATCTGCAGAAGTAGATGAGGCGGTAGCTCCCCACAGGTTAGATAAACACTGAGATGTGACAGGGAACAACTGGTTCCCATGTGATGACATGTGTCCCATCAGAATGGGTCCTGAAAGCTCCATGAGTTCTACTGGTCACAAGGCATTTCCATGATCTCCTCTGATTCTCTCAGCGGCCCTGTGGGGCTAGCAGTCTAGCAATTCATATCCCCACCTTACAGATGAGAAAAGCAAAAATTCAGAGCTTTAACAGGATCCACCACAGTCACATGGCTGGCAAGAGGCAGACTGGGAACTTGAATACATTCTCCCTTGCCCCCTACGGCAGTACATCTCCACTTGCCGGATCACGCAGCCTGTTAACGACAGAGACTAACCGAGAGGCAAAACTGCCTGTATTGAACCTTCCGGGCCAGGGAGAACTGTAATGGGAAATGCAGTCACCTCGACAGCACCCCCATGTCTCAGATACGTTACACTGGGTAAGGGTGGGTGATGTTCCTTGTCCCAAAGGAACCAGACGGCCCCAAATGCCTGACCAGACCCTGCGTTCACCTGTCCGAGCGTGCAGAGGGCTTATTTTGGCTTTATAGTTCCTGATAGGATTTCAACCGGAAAACAACTTCTAGAGAACTTTGATGGAAAAGAACATGTGTTCTTCATACTACACTATGTTCTTGATACTAACTTCCCAGACAAGGCTTAGTTTCATATCCATGAAGCTCATGAGCAAGCAGCTTTTCCAGGTGCAGTGATGTCACCGGCCAGAGCGGGTAAGGTGACTGCCCAAGAGGTCCATTATAAGCGCAACGTTTGAGGTGGAGCCTCCTGGTTTTTCTCTCTTTAAAATAGCCACGTGGATCTTGCAATTAACCTCAAAGCAAGTCTGTATTTGTTTTTGTTTTGTTTTGTTTTGAAATATATCTTTAATGATTTCAGAGAGAGGAAGGGAGAGGGAGAGGGGGAGAGAAACATCAATGACGAGAGTCATCATTGATCAGCTGCCTCCTGCCCGCCCCTGAGCGGGAATCGAACCTCAATCTCCTGAATCCTAGGTCCATGCTCAACCTCTGAGCAATGCCCAGCTGG